CGTCTTGCAGTGCGAGCGCACGTACATGATGTGGGTATCCCCCGTGGAGGTTGTATCCCCGACCCCTTGAACATCTGATTTCTGCATACTTGCAATGACTTGGATCCTGTGGGTGTGGGGCCTGCTGATGAGGTGGAGGAGGAGGAAGGGGAGGAGGAAGAAGTGGAGGAGGAGGAGGAGGAAGAGTAGGACACGGAACGCGATAATGAAGAGGGAGGAGGAGGAAGAGGAAAAGGAGGATGAGGAGGAGGAGGAAGAGGAAGAGGAGGAGGATGATGAGGAGGAAGAGGAGGAGGAGGTGGATGACACTGAACATGGTGATGACGGGAAGGAGGATGAGGAGGAGGAGGGAGAGCAGGAGGAAGAGGAGGAGGAGGAGGAAATGGAGGAGGTTGAGAAGGAAGAGGAAGAGGAGGAGGAGGAGGAGGAGAAGGAGGAAGAAGATGAGGAAGAGGAGGAAGCAGAGGAGGCACAGGAAGAGGAGGATGATGATGAGGAGGAGGAGGAGGAGGTGGAAAAACATGAGGACGAGGCGGACGAGGGCGAGTAGGAGGAGAAGGAGGAGGAAGCGGAGGAGGAGGTGGAGGAGGAGGAGGAGAAGGAGGAGCAGGAGGAGTTTGAGTTTGAGGAGGAGGAGGAGGTAGAGGAGGAGGATGACGAATCAAGACAATCTTTATTAGTGTAATATCAGTATTCAGAAGAACCGTACTAACACTGTCAATAATGCGGATAAGTAATAAGAGGAGCACACATAAGAGTAGTATTAGTAATGATCGTACGACTGATAGATCACACATACCTATATTGAGAAGAAACATGTGCGGACAACTGCTGAGAAGAAGGTTAAGACGAATATACACAACATAACTAATAAACGAGTGCGAAGCATGCCAATACTATTATGAATAGGACGACTGGCAATATTACTAGTACAAATCGTTATAATGTTTTATTTAATCGCTTCGCTCATTCCGCTGGCCCGTATTGTGCCTTCGCTGGCGTTTGGGCTTTTGGGGGCCTTTTGGGGTCCTCGTTGGGGGTTTCTTGGGGGCCTCTTGGGTTTCTGTTGGAGGCTCTTTGGGGTTGGAGCTCCTTTGGGAGCAGCTGGGAGCATCTTGGGGCTTCTGGGAGCCGCTTGGGAGCCGCTTGGGAGCTTCTCGGGGGCCTCGTGAGGGCCTTTTGGGGGCCTCCTGGGGCTTCAAAGGGGCCTCTTGGCGCCTCCTGGGGGCTTCTTAGGGCCGAGGGCTCGAAATGTTGTTTCGTGCCTCCCCTTCTGGGGCTTCCCTTAGAGCGTTCTTGGGGCCCTCTTGGGCCGTCTTGGAGGCCTTTGGGCCGTCTTGGAACCATCTTGGGCCGTCTTGGGGCCCTGTCGGAGGCCTCTCGGGCCTCTTAGGGCGATCTTGGGGGCCTCTTGGACTGTCTTGGGGCGTCGCGATGCCGAAAGGGTGGAGACGCCAAAATTTCCCCCAAACCTGAGGAAAAACAATGAATTGTGCCTCTTGGGGCCCTCTTGGAAGTGCTATTGAAAGCCTCGGGGGGCGTTTGGGGGCTATCTCGAGGGTTTTTTGGGGGCCTCCTGGGGCTTCAAAGGGGCCTCTTGGCGCCTCCTGGGGGCTTCTTAGGGCCGAGGTCTCGAAATGTTGTTTCGTGTTCCCCCTCTGGGGCTTCTCTTAGAGCGTTCTTGGGGCCCTCTTGGGCCGTCTTGGAGGCCTCTTGGGCCGTCTTGGAACCATCTTGGGCCGTCTTGGGGCCCTGTCGGAGGCCTCTCGGTCCTCTTAGGGCGATCTTGGGGGCCTCTTGGGCCGTCTTGGGGCGTCGCGATGCCGAAAAGGTGGAAACGCCCAAATCTCCCCAAAACGTGCGGAAAAAAACAATGACTTTTGCTTCTTGGAGCCCTCTTGGGAGTCTCTTGGGGCTCCTCGGCGGCGTCTTGGGGGTCCCCAGGGCCTCTTGGGGGCCTCCTGCTGGGCTCTTGGAGGCCTCTTAGGGCGGGAGGGGGGGTAGTCGATTGCGGCTCCCCCCTCGGAGGCCACGATCCTCGTGAGAGGTGTCGAAACATGACCCTCCCTCCACTGGAGTGCTCTGGTGGCTCCTCCAGAGACCTTGCCGGGGTACTTGTCGTCCGGGGACCCCCAGGGGCCGCCCCGCGCGCGCGAACTAGAAATTCTGTGAACCAGTTACTGGAGATCTTATCACGCCTCTGGCCCGTTGGGCCGGCGAATTATTGTAGTACTACGAATAAGAACAGTACTCATCATACGAAGACTGATATCAAACATCGGGACATTAATACGACGTATACGGACAATAATGCGAATACTCATACTAGTCAAACCCATAGTACTAGCATTATTCATGAATTTATTTTTAGTCCAATCAATTCTAATGCTGAAAGCAATACTAATAATACTAATCAGTTCGAACCATAACATTCCTACTCACAATAATAGCTTGAATGCGGTGAATAATCATACGACTCCTACTATTTCGAACAGCGTTCATACTCATAATATTTGAAATACTATCGATATGAACTATACGAGTAATAATAAGTGAGTAACAATAAGATGAGGAAACATAAGACGAGTACGAATGATATCAATATGGAAGAATTTATGAGCAATACTGATCAGAAGAGTAATGGGAAGAATAAAGAGAAGAAGCCGAGGAGGATGACGTGGTGGAAGAGGTGGCGGAGGAAGAGGAAGAGGAAGAGGAGGAGGAGGAGGTGGAGGAGGAAGAGCAGGAGGAAGCGGAGCAGGAGCAGGATGAGGAGCAGGAGGAGGAGGAGGAGGAGGAGGAGGAGGAGGAGGAGGAAAAGGAGGAGGAGGAGGAGGAGGAGGAGGAGGAGGAGGAGGAGGAGGAGGAGGAGGAGGAGGAGGAGGAGGAGGAGGAGGAGGGAGGAGGAGGAGGAGGAGGAGGAGGAGGAGGAGGAGGAGGAGGAGGTGGTAGCACCATGGGCGGGCCGCTCACATTGGGTTGGCCAGCGTGGCCTTTCTGCCGTGGCGGGCGGGCAGCGGGATAGGTCCACGGTGGCTGCCAGGGCTGAGCTTCGGGCGGAAAATTGGGAGAGATTCCCACATCCGGAGGCCAAGAGGGCATCAACACCAAGATCGGCGGCTGCCTCCACCGATGGAAAACGAGCCCGACCTTGGTGATGGCGGTAATACTCGGGCTTCTCAGGTGGCCGAGGTATCCCCACCAGGCCCACCAACACCCAAACCTGGACCAGCTTTCCCTGGTGGAGGAGCCCCTCTGTGTTGATGTTAAGAGCCAACATCCGGGCCTCCAACACCTCGGCAGGTCTCCAAGGTGGATCGTGCCCTACAGGCGGCTCCACCTATGGCCCCGACGGAGGAACTCGCGCTCATCTCGGAACGCCCTGCTCACGCGGATCATGCCCCACAGGGGGCTCGAGCTGTGCCCCTGTGGAGAAACTCGCATGGCGTCAGCGCGCACGCCTCCAGTATTCCTGGAAGATTTCTAGGAAGCCGCCGTTGTTCTCCTGTTTCCACGCCCCGTCCCCATTAGTGGGGCGAGCGGCTCTTGGAGTTGCCGGGTGGACTTGCCTGCCTGCGTCGACCCTCTCTTTCCCCGCTGCTGCTCATCGTCCTACCTAACCATCCCCCTCCTCCTTCGTAGCCTCCTCCTGAGGTCGGGCAGTACAGTATGGCAGTTGGGACGGGAACGTCCCTCCTCCTGACGGACGAGGAGTATGATGATGATGGTGATGATGGTGATGATTGTGCTGATGACGATGATGATGATGAAGGTGGTGGTGGTGGTGATGATGATGGTGGTGGTGGTGGTGATGATGATGATGATGGTTATGATGATGATGAGGAGGAGGAGGCGGAGTAGGAGGGTAAGGCGGAGAGGTAGGTACAGACGCGACGGGTTCACATTCAACGCCCGTGCACCAGAGAATGGATGAGGGGATGATTGGAGGGAGGGAGGGAGGGAAAGAAGGAGGGGGAGGGGGGGCGGCGAGGACAACGAGTGGGGGGGTGATGATGATGATGATGATGATGATGATGATGATGATGATGATGATGATGATGATGATGATGATGATGAGTATGATGACGGTGATGATGATGCTGATTATGATCATGATGTTTATGGTGATGATGATCATGAGGATGAGCAGGATGATGATGATGTTGATGATGAGGATGATGCTGCTGATGATGAAGATGCTGATGATGATGGTGCTGATGATGATGATGACGATGATGATGATGATGATGACGATGACGATGAAGCTGAAGATGATGATGATGATGATGATGGTGATGATGATGATGATGATGATGATGATGATACTGATGGTGATGATGAGTATTACTAATACCAGTGATAATAGAGATCATGATCAACACGAACAGAACAATCATAATGATAACAATAGTACTAAGAATAGCAATCATAGTAATACTTTTACTGACGAGAAAACAGGGGTACTAATAAGCATACTACTAATCATAACAGTGAATCTACTATCAATAGAATGAATAAGAGTAATAATAACAATCATATATAAACATGGAAATACTGATACACATAATAATATGAACAATGCTGCTACTCATAAGAAGAACATGAAGAAGAACATTCTGATGATGATGATGATGATGATGATGATGATGATGGTGGTGGTGGTGGTGGTGGTGATGATTATGAGGGTGCTGATGTTGGTGTTGGTGGTGGTGGTGGCAATGGTGTTGATGGTGATGGTGATGGTGATGGTGGTAGTGATGATGATGATGATAATGATGATGATGATGATGATGATGATGATGATGATGATGATGATGATGATGATGATGATGATGATGATGACGATGGTGAGGAGGAGGAGGAGGAGGAGGAGGAGGAGGAGGAGGAGGAGGGAGGTGGATGAGACGGAGGACGAGGAGGAAGAGGAGAGGGGGGATGAGGAGGAAAGAGGGGATGCATTTCAGCCCCATCTTGAGCTGCGTCTTGCGGGTGCGCCACAGGTGACAGCCGCGTCGTCCTGGGCAAGATGGACCGGCCCCGTTGCAGGAGAAGGTTGAGGAAAATGAGGAGGATGTTATCGTCCCTGACGCGGTAGTGTGTATGTATCCAATGGCCTTCGGCCAACCCCGCCACAGTTTCTGGGCTGTGGGTATGAGGATTCTTGCGTGTTCTCTGAGGTCTCGCGTGCTTTTCTCGGCGATGTTTTGGAGTCAGTTGTGAGGCTTCTTTGGGGCTGCGGAGCCTCATGGGGTCGTAATGAGTTTGATTGCCCACATCGGATCAAGTGCAAGGGATCGTGGTAGTAATAAAGGGGCGAGGAGTTGTGGTTCATGAGCTACGCACACTGCCTGATAAGCACGATCACAGCGAATGGTGCACGCTCGGCAGGCAGTCATCAACAGACGCGCAGAGGGGCGCACGTGGTGGGAGTGCTGTAGCCATTGGGGTTCCGGTGTTCCGTAGCCAATGCGGCTCCACAGGCAGGCCTCTTGTGTACAGCTTGGCGGTGGAGGACGGGCATCTCGTCATGCAGTGCATGCAGTAGTGGAAGTGCCAGCGCAGCAGACGAGCGTTGCGAAATGGGTTCACGATATATTTGTCTTCAAAGTAATACTCTTGAGTGCGGGCCTGCAGAAGTTCACGCTCAGCGCACGAGGGAGCTGCCCTACACTTCCCCGTGGGGTTGGATGAAGAGATGTGGATGGAAAGCGTCTCATTATTATCCTAGTTTTTTCCATTTTCACGACTGCTCGATCGCCTCGTTCAGGGTGCCATTGCCATCGTCGTCGTTGTCGCTGTTACGTTCATTAGAAGCCCTCGTTCACGGAGTGGGAGAGACGCCTTCACGGTGTGTGTGTGTGTGTCACATTGTTGGCCAGCTTTCAAGGCAATCGGAGAACCATTTGACAGCCGTGGGATGCTTCTTTGAGTTCGAGTGTATGTCTGAGGCTTCGTGGATGTTGTGCAAGGGGTCGATCGTGCCTGGGTCGTGTGCGAGGGGCCTGTCAGATGCACGCTGGGATAGTTTCGAAGCAGAGTGCCTGTATCGGGAGCGAGTGCGACATGGTTGTCCGAGGCTTGGATTTGCCGCAGATCGGCGCTCGCTCTTACACGTGGGCCAGCCCTGCGCGGGGGGGAACGTCGCGACGCTCGTGTGCTGCGTTTGCAGTTGCAAGAATATGTGCCGCGCTGGGTTCGGGAAGTTTCGGGGGAATGAGAAGTTGTCGCGGGAGAGGAAATTCAAGCGCGCTGATGAGGGCCCCCCGTGGCAGCGCAGCAGTCCTTGCGAGGGGTGCAAAGGCAAGTGCGGCGACGCCGTCCGTATATATCATCCCATGCACGAGGATATTTCCGAGTGGAAGCGGGAAGTTGGTAGCCGTGGGGTGATCGACGTCGCCGTGTGTTGCTCGGGGAATGTGCAGAAGTCGCTGCAGTGTATTCACGACGATTCATCTGTTTGCTGGAAGTGTCGCATTCCTGTATGCAGCGAGTGCTGGGCAGCGACGTTAGACGAAGAGAAGATCACGGATGCCATCGCGAACGACCATTTCATCGGATACGCGCGCCCATTTCATGCCTGGTATGTAGGTCGCGTGGCTCAATCTCATCATTCGTATTTTCAGGCCAGGGTACATGCTATGTGGAGGGGTGCCCATCGAAGAGGCGAGATCTTATAGGCGCCGTTTTGGGGAATTGGCACAGCGCGCTTGGGAGGCGCGTGGCAATTCATTCCATGTTCTGCTTCCCTGCTGGCCTTGGAGACCAAATGCGATCTGCCAGGCGGCGCGAGTGCAGTTCGCAAGTGGCTCCGATGTGTTGGCTGAGAAGTTCAGAGATCTGCGCGTGGGATCGAGAGTTGTCAAGGTAATGATCGACAATGGCGTCGGGGGCCTGCAGACCCGCGGGGGGCAGGGGGGTGTTGAAGATCCACCGGTGCGGGAAGTGTGCGACGATCGCAGCTTCGCTGGAAGCGCGCGTGGAAAGGCAGCTGAAAAGACTATGCCTTGATGGCGAGTTTGGCTCGCAGGGTGGCGCGTTACTTCCGGGCGTCGGGACCATTGCGGAAGACTCGCGGGGCCAGAAGAGCACCCCGCAGAAGGGGGGTCGGCGTTCGAAATGAAGCAAAGTGCTATGCGCGATTGGGCCCGCTGAGTCGCGGACATTTCCAAGAATGTGCGACCGTTCATCGTGGTGGGCGAGGGCTGGGTCCGAAGGTGTTTTCGCACGAGCAGTGGTCTCTGCTCGGGCGGTGCAAGACATAGTTCACCTGAGAGTGCCCGTGAGTAATGTGCTGGAAGAGCAAGTCGTCGGCAGCTACCTCTAAAGTATTTAGTGCTACGCGCTGACCTGCCCTTGCGGCGGCGTGGATTGCCCGCGCTTGGTCGGGGGCTGGGGCGGGCTGGCGGAGGACAGGGCGCGCTGTCGCGTATATTTGAAGCGGCGATGTCGCATGACTGCCGACGACCCAGTTCTTGTGCCCGGATCCTACAGCGAAATGATGGCCACAAGGCCCAACATGTAAGTGGTCGGAGATTGGATGCTAGTGCCGAGCTCGCGCCAGCTGCATTGGCGATGCACGGTCTTGCATTCCGCGCTCATAATTTGCAAGCAGAGGGCAGCGAAGGGCCCAAGAGAAGGAGGATAATGAGAAGGAGGAAAAGGGGAGTGTAAGACTCTACCCTTGTTTCCGGGGTGGAGGGTCCCCAGGTGACGGGGCATTGCCGGAACAGCCTCCAGATCACGGGTTTTGAAACCCTGGTGCGAGGCGCCAGGAGGAGGAGTAAGAGGAGGAGGAGGAGGAGGAGGAGGAGGAGGAGGAGGAGGAGGAGGAAGATGAGGAGGAGGAGGAGGAGGAGGTGGAGGAGGAGGAACAGGAGGAGGATGAGGAGGCGGAGGAGGAGGAGAAATCTGCAGATTTTCGTTCGTTTCTGATGTTTTCGGAGCTTCCATAGCCTTCAGGAGGGCCCCTGGAAGGCTCCGGCAGTTTCGGGAGGACCCCCCGTATGGGATGAAGGGGGCAGGGGACGGGATTGGGTTCTTTCCCTCCCAGCCTGCCGCCTCGCCCCCCTCCCCTCCCTAACTCTCTCGTTTCTCCCTCTCTCCTTGCCTCCCTCCCTCGTTCCCGTCCTGCCCTCCCGTCCTGCGTTTCTCCCCTCCCTCCCCTCCCTTCCTTCCTTCCTTCCTTCCTTCCTCCTTGCTTTCTGTGCGCTGGGGGGTGTGCGCCAGGACAAAAAAGGCAAGATCAAGGCCATTGACCTGACGGTCGACCACAAGCCTGACATGCCGGAGGAAGCGTGATGGCAGCCCCATCTCCGTCGCCTTCTCGTGTCCTCGTCAGCATTTACAGCAGCCCCGCTATGGTCGGCCCCACCTTGGCTGAGCCGTCTATGGGTGTCGTTCTATAACCGTCCGAGGCCTCCTAGTTTTGCAGCACCCATGACTTGTAATCCCCCGCGCTGCCTCGAATGTTCTTTCGGGCGTAGCGAGGCTGACAACGCGCGTCTACGTATCGGGTGTTGCCGACGGTGTCCCTGCCCAAGTTGTGCCCAGGATTTCCCGCGAAGGCCAGCTGGCCTCCAGAGCAGCCCTCGAGGCCCCCGAGGGCTCCAGGGGCTCCAAGATGACGCGAAAAGCCAGTCCGAAGTCGGCCCGTAGTCTGAGGGCCAGGTCTGAAGGCAGGGTCGGCGGTTTGTGCCCAACGAGGGCGCACGGGGGCAGTAAACTCCTTCGGGCCGGTCGCGCGTTGGAGGTTGCGCAGGGAGAGCGAGAGACGATAATGACGACGACGATGTTGATGACGAGGTTGAAGGTGATGCTGGCGGTTGCTGCTGCTCACGATGATGATGCCAATATTGATGGTGACAATGATGACGAATATGATGATGATGTTGATGATGATGATGCCGCTGCTGCTGTTGATGTGGATGATGTTGATGCTATTGATGATTTTGATGCCAATGTTGATGACGACTATGTTGAAGATGCTAATGGTTGTGATGATGAGTGATGATGGTGACGATGATGACGATGATGACGATGATGATGCTGCTGCTGATGATGATGATTCTGTTGATGATGATGCCGATACTGATGATGATGATAATGATGCCAATATTGATGATGATGTTGCTGCTTCTCATGATGATGATGCCAATATTGATGATGACAATGATTACGAATCCGATGATGCTGATGATGCTGCTGATGATGATGATTGCAATGATGGCGATGACGAAGAGGACGACGACGGCGACAATGACGACGACGACCACCACGGATGATGATGATGATGATGATGATGATGATGATGATGATGATGATGATGATGATGATGATGATGATGCTGTTGATGCTGATGATGATGATGATGATGATGCTGATGATGATGATGATGATGATGATGATGATGATGATGATGATGATGATGATTATGATGATGATGATGTTGATGATTTTGATGTGATTGTGATTATAATGTTTTTGACAGTGCCATTGTTTTTGATGGTGATTCTGATTATGAGGATGGAGGGCCTTCGCGGACATGTCTAACTTAGCTCGCCGGACACCGGGTTTGCCCTTCCAGGGGAGGCGGATGCGTTGTGACTTCCTCCCGAGCGAGGCCGGCGACTGGCAAACGCAAGCTTGAAGCAAGCTCGATACTACTGCCGATTTGAATCTGCAGGTCGACCCTGCCCGATCAAGGACACCCTGGTGTCCTGTGTTTCGGGAGCCATGCATTCTACAGTCCTGTGGCGATGTGGCCTTCGGAAGGGTCCTGTGTCCTCTGGTGTGTCCTCTCGCGTGTCCTCTCTATGGCGATGTGTCCTCTATGTGGCGATGTGCCCTCTGTGGCGATGTGCCCTTTATGGCGAAGTGTCTCGGCCTTCTACATTCCTAAAGTCAACCCGCATAGTAAGGATGAGCAACTTTCCAAGGTTACTCTTGCATCCTTCCCCTTCGGCCCATCCTTGGCCGCTTGCGCTGGCCGCGTCCCGCCCGCAAAGTGTCGGCATGGCCTTCCAAGGCCCTTGCATCCTTATCGTGCGCTCTTATTATACGGGTTGACTATAATGCAAGAGTCAGTGCGAAGATCGACAGCAGATCCTGCCCATTTTGAGCCAGGTTCGCCGTCGGCGTCGCCGCGGACGCTGTCCATCTGAGACAGAAGGCCGCCTGCCAAGCTGCAGCCGCTGCCGTTTTTTGGACAACATCTGTTGTTGGGCACCGTGCCCCTTTTTTCGTACCCGTGTCGGTCGTCTGAGCCCTCCCCACTGTGGCGTTGGCTCTGGCTCTGGTGACTCGGGGGCTTAGCGACGAAGCCTCAGAATCGCCACCACCAGTGCCGGATGGAGGAGGGGATGGGCGAAGGGGGGAGACTGTTTCTCGAGTGGTGCCTCGACGTGTCTGGGGCTCTTGCGATGCCTCAGTGGCACCATGTTTTCCGTACCCCTCCGCAGAGGCTTCCGAGGGCCTCCACAGGCGGCCGCAGGGAGGCCTGCCGTGGGCTTCTCGGGGGCCACCTGGCACGGTGGCGGCCTGGCGCCCCGCCCCCCAGGGGATTTCGGCACATCGCGACGGAGGCCGAGGGAGGCTGGGCGAAGTCCGTTGCAAGCCAGCACTCGAAGAATAATAATAACACGAGTTATATACACGAAGAAACATAGACAGAAGACGCAACATATCATTCATTACGATTACGATTACGATTGCTACTACTACTACCACTACTACTACTACTACTACTACTACTACTACTACTACTACTACTACTACTACTACTACTACTACTACTACTTCT